GAGATAACGAGAAAATGAAGTCATTATAACGAGAAAACAACTTTCGTTATGTCGAGATAACGAGAACATTTAGTCGTTATAACGAGAAAACAACTCTCGTTATGTCGAGATAATGAGAAAATTAAGTCTTTATAACAAGAAAACAACTTTCGTTATGTCGAGATAACGAGAAAATTAAGTCGTTATAACGAGAAAACAACTTTCGTTATGTCGAGATAACGAGAACATTTAGTCGTTATAACGAGAAAACAACTCTCGTTATGTCGAGATAATGAGAAAATTAAGTCTTTATAACAAGAAAACAACTTTCGTTATGTCGAGATAACGAGAAAATGAAGTCATTATAACGAGAAAACAACTTTCGTTATGTCGGGATAACGAGAAAATTAAGTCGTTATAACGAGAAAACAAGAAGGAAAAAAAATATATTGCATGGCCGCTTAGAACTTCCGTACATTTCAAATGTAGTGGAGTAAAGAGTACAGATACTCATTCAAAAATGTAGTGAAGTAGACAGTAAAAGTTGCTAATATTTTTGATACTCAGTACAACTACAAAGTATCCAAAAAGATACTCAAGTATACAGTAACTAATTACATTTACTCCAATACTTTACACCTCTGTACGTAAGTACGTAAAGAAAGAAAGAAAGAAAAAAAGAGAGTTAACATTATACTACAACAAGAACAACTAATTATTTTTCAGAACATTTACTGAAAGCATTTCTCCTATTTCCCATAACATGCACTACAAAATTCCAGATTGTCGAGAATGAGTGAAAACCCTGGCAGTTTCCAATAAACATGTCATGAGGCAAAGATGAATGACTTAATGCCTTTGACAACTAACTATTACTGAAACTAGTATTTATCTTATAATATTTTCTTTTTCTATATTGAAGGTCCAGTTTTGAGATTAATTTCCAGGCCCAGGTGTTTTGAACTGAGCCCCAATATGAACATCATATACAAGTAATTTTATGTTTATTGCTTTCTGAAACATACTAACACTGCTGGCAAACAAAATTTTTGGAAAATTATACTCTGTAATGAGTTGGCCAGTTTGTTAAAATCCACCACATAACACAATTACACACTACACAAGCAAAGTAGTGGTGACATTTAGATTGTGGTTGAGAGTCAGGAAACATAAAATCAGAGAGGTTAATCTAAAATGACATTGATGTTTGTCTCAAATTTAAAATAAGAATTTATTCAAATGCATATGCATAAACATAATATAAATAATAAATATAAATCAAATTTGAACAGATTGAAAAAGATTATACTGACAGAGAGTTCATTCTGAAGTCTGATGTCATGAGACCATGAATATCACCGTGTTACTAAGCAGGCCTAAAGATCAACTGAATCAAATGTCTGCAAGGACCAAAGGTGGAGAATTAATACCCACTGGAGATTAGCAAACACATTGTGGGACCTCTGAGTATGTCACAGTGGTAGATTATACACAGATCTACTCGTAGTGCGGTTGTAAACTGGATTGCTCACCAATAAGAGCTCCAACATACAGTATTTGTGCAGGGTGAAACGCTCTTATGAAAACAAAGTGATTCAATTTCCTCTAGTAGCAACCCACTATGTGGTCACAGTTAAAAAACTGTTTCACATAGTAACACATTTTTGATCTCTCTTCATTGAAACAAGTGAAATCATTTCAAAAAGCTCATGAACAATGGCGAAAAAAATGCACAGCAACATTTCTTTACATGTGTCTGATCCTCTTTGTCTCCGTGGAGACTGCAGCGTATTAAAAGAGATGATTAATCTGGTAGTCTTGCTCTCGCAAAAGGAGCTGTCTGTAATCACAGCATGACTCTGAACTGACGTCAATGTACATCTTATTTGCCGTTCAGCATTTACATTTCCCTGCTGGTGTCCAATTCCAGGAAACAACATGACGTCAGCTGCTCTGTGAGTGGGCAGTGCATTCACGCGTTTCAGAGAGAGAGAGCGACAGAGGTGCTGAAAGAAATGAGTGAGAGCTACAGAGGAACTCAACAGGAAGCAAAAATGTGAACATTTCATTCTTTCAGCCTGTTGCATGCTACAGAGATGATTCATCGCAAGAATATAACGAAAGCACAGATTTGATACAAATCGTATATCGTTTTCTCAGTACAATCTCTGTGTCTCTACCAAAACTTCAAAGTTTTGTTTGAGCATTTGAAATGTTGTTTGTCCGTTCATGTTCTCTGAACAGTCAGTTGACATTTAAAATGACCCAATCAATTTCAAAAACAGCCAAACTAAACTGAGATATTTAAAATGCAATTTTTTTAAGCAAGTTCCCCATGTTAAACATGCTGAAAACCACATAAGAGCCACAGAAAACAGTGGACATACCTGATTCTGTCTCATCTCCAGTCACAGCCATGTATAGTGAGCTGAAAGCTTGTCTTTCTCTCTCTGCTGTCAGCATGCAATGCTGCCCACACCACAAGCTAAGTGTGCAGTCACTGTCAGTGCCATTGACATCACTATGACATCATTAGCCTCCTGATGTCAGCAACGCAGTGGCTAGCGGAGTCAGCCCTTCCTCTCCCCAGCCCCCTATGCCGTCATTCACACATCAGACAGAGAGCCAGACCAAAGCAGGCTACAGAAGGCAGTTTGTTATGCTTAAAAGCTGCCTAAAGGACTGTCCTTAGATTTTCTTTTCAATTATGATTTCAACAAAAAGAAGACTATGCATAATGTTATGTGATATTGTTTTTGGAGTCTTAAAATGTATAAACAAATGAAATGAGCTTCCAGGTAGGCTGTGCATTGCATGAAACCTGTCAGGAATATATACGGATCCCTTTTAACTCTAAGAAAAAAAGAAATTACACTATACCATTCAAAATGTATAATGTTTTTTTTAATACCAATTCATATTTTCATCAAAGAATCCTGAAAAAAAATGTATCATACTTTCCACAAAAAATATTAAGTGGCACAACTGTTTCCAACATTAATAATAATAAGAAATGTTTCTTGAGCAGCAAATCAGCATATTAGAATGATTTCTGAAGGATCATGTGAAACTGAAGACTAATGATGCTGAAAAATGAGCTTTGCATCACAGAAATAAATTACATTTTAGAATATATTCATATAGAAAACAGATTTTTTTATTTAAATTATTAATAATTTAAATTTAATTATTAATATTAAATTATTATAGGTTTTACTGTATTTTACATTAAGTAAATGCAGCCTTGGTGTGCATAAACTTCTTTCTGAAACATTAAAAATTTTATTGACTCTAAATGTTTGAACGGAAGTGTATATATATATATATACACACATATATGTGTGTGTGTGTGTGTGTGTGTGTGTGTGTGACCCTGGACCACAAAACCATATTTTTGAAATTATACATCATCTGAAAGCTGAATAAATAAGCTTTGATGTATGGTTTGTTAGGATAGGACACTATTTGGCTGAGATACAACTATTTGAAAATCTGGAATCTGAGTCTAAAATGTCAAAATACTGAGAAAATCGCCTTTAAAGTTGTCAAATGAAATTCTTAGCAATGCATATTACTAATCAAAAATTAAGTTTTGATATATTTACGGTAGGAAATTTACTAAATATCTTCATGGAACATGATCTTTAATTAATACCCTAATGATTTTTGGCATAAAAGAAAAATCGACAATTTTGACCCATACAATGTTTTTTTGGCTATTGCTAAAAATATACCCATAAAAATCCATAAAAAATATTTTATCTTATATAAAATATAAGACTGGTTTTGTGGTCCAGGGTCACACATATATATATATATATATATATATATATATATAAAATGAAGACTATTTTTTAAGACATTGTGGCATATGTTTTTGTCATTTCTTGCACTTACAGCAATTATCTCAAGTTCCATGACCTCTCCATTTGTGATTTTTTAAACGCTTAAAATTTCAGACGGATTTGTTAGTAATCATTGAGACAAGCCATTTGAAAATGGTTTTCCATGACTGTTGGAACCTAAAGTTAAGACAGTGTATATCACAAATGAAACCAGAAAACTCCTATTTATTAATGTATTTATTTTTTGGTCTTTCTTGAAAATACAAAACCAAAAACACATTAAACATTACAAAACATTCTTTAACCGAAGTGACATAGGCAATGTATAAAGTAAAAAGACAATCGAATTCAGTCAGTTACGGTGTAATTTTGAGGCAACAAGCGATGTTTGAATCAATAATAACTAAACTCAAATTCACCTCCTCAAATGTAACCAGTAGTGTTATCAAATCAACTCAATTGAGTTTTCTTTTCTTTCTTTCTTTTTTTTACCACATCAACAATTTACTATTTAAAATTTCGCAGATCGCTGCGATTTCAATGTTAATCTTTCGGTCAGACTTTTAAAAGTTAAGAAAACCAAACCAGAGGTACACAAATGAGTTAGCATGCTCTCCGCACCGATACAGCTCAGTCAACCAATTAATGTACACACACAGGCAATTAGTGCAACAATTAACTGCAGCGAGAGCATGAAGAGTGATAAAAACGTATCAACTAAAAACAGGCATATGAAGCGGAGGCACGAACCCTAAGGGCCCGTCTTCCCATCAGGGCACGTTAGCAACAAACACACCGTCACCCAGAGAAGATGAACCATGCCTGGAGCTACAAATACCCAAATTAAAACCAGGAAAAACAACAAAAATGTTGCTTTTTAAATGCTAACGTTATTAATATTTTGTATGAAATAATAATTAAGACATTGCATTTAATATACAGTTGTTTTTCCCCATCCCTTTGGATTTTTGCTTGAGATAACTGCTGATGGTTTCGCATCTGTCATAGCTGGTAGAATGAGCTAGCGCGGTTTGTTTCTTTTTTCCCTCTTTTAAATATATACATGCATTCAATAGGTATTCCAATAAAACTAATTCCAACTCCCTTCCGGTTTCACCAATTAAAGAGTTAGCTAAAAACTGCAAGACAGTCCACACAACACAATTCTGCATGAGGAGCTTGTCTGGTCTTCGGCCGTGAGATATGTTGTAGAATGAGTGAAGGATGGGAAGTAGTAATGGAGCCGGACTAGGAAGATACTCTTTCCTTTCCTCTGCCAACTGGAGTCGGATTCACATTATGTTTGGAAGGAAGAGCAACTGGCTGATAACACTTGTAGTGGCAGCTCCAATTGCAAAAATACTGGACAGTGAGAATGCATATCTACCATCTTTTGACCTGAAGACAACAAAAAGACAATTATTTCACACAGGGACCAACAAAATCAGATTACTTCGTGAGTATAAAGACAGTAAAGATGCGGTCACATAGTGTAGTGATGCATGAAGTCACTTTCAAACCAAGCATCTTTCTGATGATCAATGGAGCATATTTGCTTGACCAACAGAACCTGATGTGGAATCAGCATGGGGAAATCTTTCATTAATTGCGTAGATTCTTATTAAAATGACTGGATTTTGCCCAAGAAAATGAGCCAAAATGTCACGGAAAAAAAATTGATTACTTTGTGAGTATAAAGACAGTAAAAAAGATGCGGTCACATAGTGTAGTGATGCATGAAGTCACTTTCAAACCAAGCATCTTTCTGATGATCAATGGAGCATATTTGCTTGACCAACAGAACCTGATGTGGAATCAGCATGGGGAAATCTTTCATTAATTGCGTAGATTCTTATTAAAATGACTGGATTTTGCCCAAGAAAATGAGCCAAAATGTCACGGAAAAAAAATGGCTACTGTCAAAAGCGTAGCGATGCATAAAGACAATTTTAAACCATTTGCACTTACAGTGTCGCGTTCACCACTGCGTGGGCACGTAACTGTAGGTGGGAGTGGCAGGCGGGCGGTACGTGGGCATTGAAGGGTGGGGCGCGACTGGGGTCGGAGAGTGAGTAGTTAATAATGTCCCTGAGGAGAAAAAAAATGCATTTTTACTATTTCCTCTTTATTGTATAAATTTCAGTGGATTATTTGGATGAGACTCACCAGCTGACATCGCCATGGTGGTGCCTCCTACCATGCCCATGGCGACTCCGTTATGGCGAGGCGGGGGAAGGGGAGGAGCATACATGGTCGCTGGCATGCCATTGGGCTGGACCACCGTTGTATGATGAATGACATGCGGCGGTGCTGCGTAAAGGGGCTGTGTGTAGTAAGTGCCTTGCTGCTATGGAAAAAAACATCCAATATTTTAACAAAATGCAGGTGTGACATTATTTACGCTTCATAATCTCCAGTTTTATGTTGCTTTACCTGTGCATAGGGGTTCTGTTGGGGGTAGGGACTTCTCACGGGGTAGACTGCAGCAGAGTAGGGGTTGGGTGAAGAGGAATAGGGGGGTACAGCACCTGTAGTTGGGGAGCAGGACATTTTGAAAGGGGTCCCGGGAGCATAACCTGTAGAGATGGCATTATATTTGAAGAAAATTAAGCAATAATCTAATTTGCTAGCAACAGCAATGCTTCTAAAAAGTGAGCATCACATCAAAATTGACCTTGTGGGAAAAAAATGGCTGGATAAACCCTATATTGATCATCTAGAATATCTAGTTTTATCTGGAAATATGTAAGACTCCAAAGGCAAAATAGGTAGTTGATGTCATGTCGAGTTGGCTTTATAGGAATATAAATCCAAAAATGAAAATCCTGTCATCATTTACTCACCTTCATGTCACTCAAAACCTGTATGACATACTTTCGTCTGTGGAACACAAAGAAAGATATTTTGAAGAATGTTGATAATCAAACTGACTTCCAGAGTATGGTCTAAAAATACAATGGAAGTAAATAGGAACTAAAAATGTTTGGTTACCAATATTCTTCAAAATATCTTCTATTATGTTCTGCAGAAGAAAACAAATGTCATACAGTTTTGGTACGACTTGAGGGCAAGTAAATTATGTCAGAATTGTCATTTTTGGGTGGACTATGCCTTTAAGACATACTGATGAGTTCAGGCACAAAAATGTTGAAGAGAAATAAACAAAGTGAGCTGTAATCCAAGAACTGCACTTTTAGCTTCTTAAAACGTGTTAAAAATCAAAAACCTCAGGATATATTTTTTGGCTGAGTGAAGAAGATCCATGTAACAAAATCTCTGTTCTGGCTTCTTGGAAACTGAAAAACACAGGAAAAAGAGAGAGTTTGGGCTTCCTTTACCTGTGGGAAAGGCTGGATTAGTGCCAGGGTACATGCCGGGGGAGTATGCTGGAGCTGCCGCTGCATAACCCACAGGAAATCCCGCTGTGCAGGAGGGAAAAAAAAAAAAAAACACAGCAATTAACAATAACAACAAAGACATTGTGCTGAAACCTAATTGCGTATGGTGTGAAAACGCCAGACACTTCCTATCGATTGCATGCAAGTGAGTCAGAGCTCATCTCTGGTTACCTGGGTATCCTATTCCTTTAGGGTTGGCATAAGGAACCCCTGATGACGCAGGGTTATAAACAGGGTTCATGATGTTTATCTTTTAGCACCTTTGAAGAATAGGACAGAAGAAGTCATTACATTCAACTACACAATAACCTATTACTAGACAGTTGTATTGTGCATTGCTTCTCTTTGGAAAAATACAGGTATATATTATGTACATTCATTTATAATAGATTCTAAAACACAGCAAGTTTCTACTTGGTGCAAAAACAAACTAGCTATAAAATATGGAAATACATATTTTTTTTAATTATATATCAATAACAGATTCTTAAACACTAGTTTCTACTTCAATAAAAATGTAGAGAAAAAAAAAACTTTTTAAAAAAAATAAGCAGACAAACCAATTTTGTCTGATTTGACTGATATTTTTACATTTCTGTCTACCGGAATCTTTTTTTAAAGTTTACAGATGCCATATGCTAAAGATTCACATTCACTGTGCATTCAACAAGGAAAAACAGTGCACCTGGTAAAATTCATTTAAAAGGTCGCTTTTTAAAATAATTGACTTTTTGATTGATAATAATGTGTTTTTATTTTTTTATCAAAGTAGCCAAAGGATAAATTAATAGTTATTGCAGTATATAATAAATTACTATTGCACATTTTAAATAATCAGTACCAGTATCGGTCAGGATAAATTAAAGTGGGGAAAAAATGCTATGCAGTTTTATCAGTCATGTGTAACAGGTACTTTGTAATGAGTCCCACCTATGATCTCAAGTCACCCTCTTACAAGCAGTGTTGGGGGTAACTCATTACAAGTAACGCGAGTTACGTAATCAGATTACTTTTTTCAAGTAACTAGTAAAGTAACGCATTACTTTTTTAATTTACAAGAAAATATCTGAGTTACTTTTTCAAAAAAGTAACGCCAGTTACTTTGTTTTCCCATTTACTAATAAGCAAAAATGACTTTAGAGAAGCTAACAATTGTGCTTCATTGTTTTTTTATTGCTGAAGAGCGTTTCTTCTCCTGCGTTCTACTGTACAGATGTGAATTTACTTTTCCTTCAGCCTGAGGTTTATTCATTACACTTTTTGGTGTGAAAGGGTTTTTATATTTGCTATAAATAGAACTTCTTATATTAAAAACAATCAAGTCCTGCTCATATTTAAAAAGTAATGCAAGTAATGTAACGCATTACTTGCCATAAAAAGTAACTAAGTAACGTAATTAGTTACTTTTTTTAGGGAGTAACGCAATATTGTAATGCATTACTTTTAAAAGTAACTTTCCCCAACACTGCTTACAACACCTGTCAATCAAAACTGATTTAAGGCGCATGCTGATGTCAGATGCAACGTGTTTCTGCTCGTACTGGTTGTTGAGTGCATCTGACTTATGAGATTTAAAACATGCAGTTTATGCATTAAAACATAATTCAACGCAATTGAGAAAAACAATCAGATGCAAAGTAAATGCGCATAAACGCATTGCATTCAATGGATCGGGCTCCTCCGAAACACAAGTATGGCTTTCAATTAGCCTGAGGTCCCGATTGTAAACCGACTCTACCGGTCGGCCAATTAATATTTTACATGCATGGCTAAAACAAGAGCTTTTTGCATCACTGCATAAGACGATCGTGTTTGATGCTCAAACACATCATAATAATAGACGTGACGTGTGCACGCAGGATGCAGCGCAGCGGCTCGGTGTTACAGGCCAACAGCAGAATCTCGCATCCCACTTTATCCCAATTCACTACATGTCCCACTCCTCCATCCATCCCTCCCTCTGTTTTTCCCCAGACAAAATCCCCCTCAGATGCGCAGCTAAAGCAATGTATCTCAACCGGACAGTAGTGACTGTGGGTACGTACGGTCGCTGGTGTTTTTGCAGCGGGAGAAGAATCCAGTATTTCGCTCGTATCTGATGATGTTGTCCGTCTCGAGCTCTCGCGTCGGCTGCAAAACGCTACGCACAGCGAGCCCTGGCAGCACCGTGCGTCACTTCCGCCTTCTTCTTCTTCTTCTTCTTCTAATAACGTTTTATGGTGGATGGCAAACCAACTTCTGGTGAATTTACCGCCACCAACTGGACTGGAGTGTGGAGCACTAATATGCAACTACTATATACATATTTATATTTATCTATATTTTATATAAAAAAAATAAAATACAAAAATTTAAAAATTAAATAAAAAAAAATACCCACACATTCCTAAATTCTCCTGACTAATCTTATTTCTTTAATGTATTTAACAATAGCACCATATATTTTACCTTGTTCTGCATGCTCTTTCAAGAGATTTGACAAATTAAATGATTCAACACCCATGTTTCTTACTTCCTCAATGAGTTTTAACCTTTCTTTTTCATATTTTATACATTTTATTAAAACGTGCTCTATTGTTTCTGCCTGATTACAAAAAATACATTGACCTGTTTCATGTTTTCCTATATTAAACAGAGAGTGATTTAATCTAGTATGCCCTATTCGGATGCGAGAAATAATTGTATCTTCTTTCCTATTCCTAAAAATACTTCTTCCATTTCCTACTTGCTGCTGAATATTATACATTTGTCTGCCCTTGCTTTCACAGTTCCATACTTCTTGCCATTTTTTGTTTATGAATTCTTTAATTTTCCCTTTAACCTCATTTTTGCTAAGAGTCACTTGAATATCTATTTCTGAGTGT